TTTGTAATTTAAAACTATGTTGTTTCAACTGCATCAAGGAACGCCCAAACCCTAAATATTCAAGCCGCAAGGAGAGGGAAACGGATCGGTATAATGCCACAGTGGATAATAATGGAGTAAGGATTACAATTCCAAACATGAATTGTAAAAGTAAATGAATTCCTTTCATGCGGGATGGATTTTTTAAAGGTCGTAGATCATGTTATTTTCGATTTAAATATCTATTTCTAATAAATATATAGAAATATTTAAATAAAATAGAATAAATATTTAATTTAGATGTAAAGCAAATTTCCATGAATATAGGAATGAGGTACCATGTATTGGGTTGTCCGGAAAATAATGCAGGATTTTGGTATTAAACAAAAAAAAAGAAACTAGTTACTTTAAAGCAATGTTCTTTAATCAAAATAANCATTCATACAAATGAGTAATCCTGTAAACGTAAACAGAATATTTTATATAGATTTTTTTTAATGAAAACTTAAAATCCTGCATTATTTTCCGGACAACCCGATACGAGACATTTAAGAATCCGTAAAACATGAACAATAAATATTAACTACGCTTCTTCGAGTTTTTACGCCATAATCATGCACTTTATCTCTGGAACCGAGTCCGAAATAATAAAATCATTTAATAAAATCCATAATAAAGTAGGACGACTGAACATCACACAATATCAAACCGAAAACCTCTGTCCTGCAAATAGAAGCAAAAACAAAGAGTAAGAGAATTGAGGACAAGTCGTAGAAAACATTCTTAACAAACCTTACCACCATGGTGAAACATGTAGGAAATTAATGGGACCTCGGCCTGACAGAACAGTGTTTCTAGATAGAAATGACAAACTGGGGTGAGTATATTGTTTAACTACGTTAAAAGATAGTTTTCTCTGACAGTTTGTTGTTTAAAAAAATTCGGATTTCAAGCAATAAACGCTCATCATCAGGTAGAAAGACTTACAAACACGTCTCTCGACGTGAATTGTAAGTGTAACTCATATCTGAGGATGAGCGTTTAATGCTTGAAATCCGATCGTTCAAAACACAAAACTGTGAGTGAGAACGATCTTTTCAAGTAGGTAAGTATTTCTTTGGCCGAACGAGTGCCGAAGTTTTGTACACTCAAGCGAATTTTAAAACTTCTACATTTTAGTGAAAAGGCTTGTCGAAATATAAACAATTCCCATCTTTCATCGCGAGGAATATTTTCAGATTATTGAATAACAATTCGTTGAAGTCGTGAGGAGTGGTCAAGAATAGGAAGTTTAGAAAAATACCTTTTTCATTTTTTTAGACGTTTCAACCTTTATTCGGGTCATCTTCAAGGCATAAAGTGTGGTGCTGTTATTGTGGTGTCATATTGGTTTTGTGTTAAAGTGTTGTGCTGTATGTTATTGTATAGCATAACTGGCTTATGGATAAATCGATAACCTATGCATCTTTCTTTCTTAAAAGTGGTATTTGAAGTTTATTTATATTTTTAACTGAATTTTGTTTTGTTTTTATAGATTTTTGGCGGCTTTAAGGACAAAGATTGAGGAAAATAAATAGTATTGACATGAAATACGATATCGTTGACACTACCTGAGTTACATCCCCCGTCCATACAAAAAAAAATCATCAATGACAATCCTGTGTATTTGATATCTGTTTGTCTACAGATCAAGAGAAAACTTTTATCTGAAAACCCTCAAGGGTCCTGGGAGAGGTGACTCCACACTCGCCGAACCGGATTAAACGACACGTCCACACATTGTCAAAAGCGACGAGGGTTCCGTGGATTGCGGGTGGGAAAACAAAAGAGGGGCCAGACGAAACGGAAAGGAGTGATAGGGCGGGGGATTAATAAAATTAAAGCATCAAGATTCTCCTGTTAAGAGATTGCAAAAACTGGATCCACAATGAGGGCATAAATCCAAAAAGGGACGGCCGATTTAGGGAGAGAGACTAGATGAAGAGCAATAGCATTGATTTATTCAGAAACTTTAATGAATATGAGGGCGGGGTAATGAACGATTAGTTTACGATCTACTTTCTGTAGACCCGTGGATTTTCATAGGGGTCTGCTAAGTATGTGTCATGAGCTTACTCGACAGTTTTCCCGCTTCTTCTCATCGAGTAGCGAATAGGCGGTGGAAATCGATTAAAACCCCACTTGGATTCCGACCCCCTTTACAATACTCAAATCATGTTAGTATTTGTTCAAAACAATATTGCGTTCACTATCACGGTTCAACAGATGCGATTTGAGAAATCAAAGGCCTGACCATTAGACATTAATATTCAACACAAGCGAGAGTAGGCAGAGGCACATGATCAAACTGCACGTTCACATCACAGACATCAATATCACACATTTTATTAATATCTATTGACTCGCAAATACAGCAGGAGAACTGGAAGACTTCTGTTCAATTATTGCGGAACAGTACCGTGTTTCTCTCTAACAAAAAGGAACGACGAAAATTTTCATACAAACCACTCATTAATGAAAATAGTTTAAAAGATGTTACTTTTTTGCCAACACAAAACTAATTCCAGTAAAGTGGTTAATGGAAAGTTAATAAATCAGCTTTCCATAACGGGAAAAGTATTTTTAAAATATTAACCGACAAAGTCCAATTTGGTCAAATGATCAATTTATGATGCGTTTCATGAAAACGGATAAATGACACGGAGATTACAGGACCAATCCACTCGGGTTTTGTTATTAAAAATCATTTATCCGTCGAATCAAGTTTATTATTAAAAGTAATAAACAATGGGCGGTTATTTCAGCCTGACATCGCGCCTATTAACGAAAAGGCAAAATATCATCTTTTCATCAACATCAAAAGATGATTCTCCAATAAGCAAAATCTCTAATGTTGTTTACACTTATTTAAAATTGATTATGTTGTTTTGTTGCTGGCGTTGAAATTTTGATTTATCTCAGGTTTCACTACTTTATGGAGTTTTTCCACCAAAAACCTTTGGTATAAAATAGTGAAACCTGAGATGGTTTAATTATAAGTGTATGGTTAGTTTAGTTAAACAGTTAATTTAGCCTTTTTGTTTATTCATTCCGCTGGTTTAAACCGATTGGATTTGGCATTAGGGGTGCCATGAGTAAACGATAAACATCAATACTTCCTGCACTTGGATAGCCGCCTTCCGGATAATTTCAGTCACTTCGATATTCTACAATATAATTTTTTAACATAATCGTCCAACTTGAATCGTGAACTTGGAAATTTCCCCGACGGGAAGTAGTTAGATTATTCCAAGCAAACGGTCGAATAGGGGGTGGAAATGGAAAGAAATATCCCCCGTAGGGTGGTACGGGATGGAAGAAGGGAGAGCAAGAATTTTTTTTCAATTATTCTCGAATCACAAAAAAAGAGAGAAAAACTGGGTAAAAGCAGTTGGAAAAGTATAATAAAAGTTACGGATTTTGTCGCGAATCACGAAATCACCGACCTATATTTCCTTCTTCCTTCGTCCTTATATATATTTTTCCTCGGATTAAAACAGGGATTACATTTATTAAGCTTTTGCTATTTAAAAATTTATTAGAAAATGAGAAAAACAAAGTTTTTAAAAGCACGTAATAAGATAATTTCAAAGAACGTCAATATCGACCTAAAATTCAATGCTGGAATTAGGTGAGTCTTGAATGCTTTTCATACTGCTGTAAGTACTGAACCTTTTACATCGTACCATCTATTAATGAATTTCAATATTAATTACTACAGTTGAACTTCCTTTAGACAAACACAGAAGATGGCGAGATGTCTAACCGCGCGTGACAGACCAACTTATCAATGATAAATGGACAAACATGATCGTTGATCAATAACGATCAAATTATAGAAAAAATATCAAGTATCAAATTAAGTGAAAGTAAAAAATGAATTCCAACGAATCTGTTATGTACGAACATCCAGCCCAGACAATTTTTTTTCTCATGGACTTCGACCCCCTTTCTCCGACAGTCATCTGTCATTCCTGGGATTCCGAGTTACTTTTTTTTCTGTCAGCGTTGAAAAAACTATAGACGTAGTGTCCGTGTCCGTTTATTAGAAATACTGGAATAACACCCGAACCGGTTCGAATAATACCCGGGGAAAATAAAATTGTCTGTTTGAGGGATGTCCGGTTATTAAGCAGTTTGGGAAAGTTCGACAGTAGTTAAATTCTATATTAAATTGTGTCAATAGTCAAAAACGCCACGGACGATTTGAATGAAATTAAGCGATACTGATTAGATAAATCTTGATAGTAAATTTCCTTTGAGCTTGAAATGCTTCAAAATGTTTTTTATTTATATTTTTTAACGTTAATGTGGGAATACGTTTCAGTTAATTCAACTGCGTATTTAATTGATTGGAAAATTGTGGGCAATCATCCGTCTGAACGATTGTGATTTAAATGATATCCAATTAAAGTGTTTTGTTGTTTAGTAGAATACAATAATCAAGTACTTTGAAAATTTTCAAATGATGAGGAAAAATCAATACTCGCTATCTTTGGCGATTAGTTGTCATCGAGGAGGGTGTTAAAACGGTTTGACAGATTTTGTTGGTAGTTGGTAGAATGGGAATGATTTGGACTATTCTCCGTAGCGGGATATCCCAAGACACCAGGAAAGTCCATGATTGATGAAATCCAAAAGATCAATTAGCGCGTGCCAAAACTTGATCTTTTGCGTTTCACGTGTTTCTGAGCCAAACTTACGTTTAAGATCCTATCACGGTTTTAAAAATGAGACATTACCATTTACCAGCGAGTTGTTTTCTTCGATTTATCCCCCACGATTTATTTTTATTCCGTGACGTATGAAAACGGAGATCGTCCGAAGGGAAGAAAGAGAGGGGAGGACCTTCTTTGGATGGTGGGGTCGAGGTGATAATGTCGCAAAAAGTTGGCCGAGGTAAAGAAATTTGAACAGGACCTATTTTTCGCGGAACGCCACTAGGATCAAGTCGGGGTAAAACAAAAAGTAAAAGTTTTTACCTGATGTTTCGTATTAATCCTCAACGCAGATCGCAGACAAGAAAAAAGTCGATGATAATCAGACACTGTCTGCAAGGTATCACAACACAATCCACAAACCGCACAGCACTGTTTCGTCACGATTGTCCCTCGATCACTAACAATTCAATCAGATGAGACAAAAAAAAAATTCAATTAACAACAAGAAGGCGAGGTGAACGACACACCGAGTACGGACTCTCGCCACCAACTAGACTGTTTCTCTTGTCCAAATGGTGGGGAGATGAAACTCAGACCTCCGCTCGCTGCCCCACCTCACAAGCACCACCCTTCTTTCCCCGTTCCGTCATACCCGAAAGACATAACCCAATCTTTCCCATCCCGTCATTCCCGTTTAATTTTTTTTTTTTTTATTCGGTGGACAAACCAATTCGGCTCGGCCTCGTGGAAGGGAAAACGTCTAATTCTCATCTTTTGCTCTTCTTTAGCACATTACCGAGATCAAAAGGGAGTGTTGTTTAATGATACACTTCGATTGCATCGCTGTTGCTTTGACGCTAAGACATCAATTAACCGAGGCCCCTTTCGAATGGTTATGGTATGACATACCTGATAGAAGCAACAGTTTTGCAGGAGTACCACCGTTACTTGCTCCTTAAGAAGAAAAAATAATTTTATTCTGGTATAGGAGTTAATAACATTTTGACAAAAATATAAACCTTGTCGTGGTGATCAACATAATAACAATGGACTTACAAAAAACAAAACCCAAAGGGATTAAAACTAAAATGAGTTATTCTGAAAATTAACATAGAAAATAAAGAGATGGGGAGTTGGTGTCCGAGTGAATCGAAGTCACGATAACAACTCAAGTGGTTAGAGCAGCGGCGTATTGAGCCGAAGGTCGTGGGTTCGAATTCCGCTCGTGACTTTGTGGATTGAGGTTGAGGGAATTTTTGTGGGCCCAGTTTTTGAAGTAATTTAGGTATTTCTGGATCTTAGGGAAGGCCAAAGGTAGTTCAGAGGGATAGAAAGACAAGTATCTGGGCGTCGTCAGCAAAAAAGTGATAGTTGCAATACTGGATGGAATCGGAGATGTCATTAATGTAGATGCGGAAAAGGATGGGAGAGATGCTAGAGCCTTGGAGAACACCAGATTTTAATGGAAGAAAGGAGGAGGTGTGCCCATTAGGGGTAGCGACGGCTCGAAGTCGATTCGTAAGGTAGGACTATATCCATCGGATGGTGTCGTTGGAGAAAGCAAAGGATTCGAGTTTGGACAGGAGTGATGAGTCATCGACAGAATCAAAGGCTTTAGAGTAAGTAATGAAGAAGGATTAGGATAGAAACTTTTTGTTAATCCATTGCGGTGTGAAGGTCACTGATAATTGTGACTAGGGCAGACTGTGTGGAGAAACCATTCCGAAGTCCGACTGGGGGGTAAGAAGACTGGAATATTCTAAGTGGTGAGGACTTGGATATCTCTCAAGGGGTTCGGCCAGATTGGATGGGATAGACTTACATGATAAAAGCAAAAGTTTTGAAGCAATACCATCGTTTCATGCTCATTACTGTATAAGTACGTATGGAAGGCAAAAGGTATCAGGGGCTGCCATGGTAATTTACCCATAAAGGTTTCTGACGATTAAAAATTTGGGTCATTTTGACAGTTTTTATCATGCCATTTATTTCTTTGGCACGCAGACTTTAATTAATTAGGCCCATTTCAAAAAGAGAAACATCTGCATGAGGAGCACGAAGTAAAACGTTATCGAGAAATCTAATGTAAACTTGCTTGCCCTTGAACAGTTCTAGCAAATTCTAATTGACTCAAATTACACAGTTTTTATTACTCCACTTATTAATTTGACTCTCAGAATTTAATGAACCAAGGCTCATTTTGAATAGAAAACATAATTTTGTGAACGAGCATGAGATTAAAAGGTATCAAGGAGTAGTATGGTTACTTGCACTTGTACTGGCATCCAAACTGATTCAAATTTGGCAGTTTTCATTACAACAATTATTTCCTTTGACACGCAGAATTTAATTTACCAAGGCTCATTTCAAATGAGTAACGTTGTATGAGGCAAAAGGTATCAATGAGTACCATGGTTCTTTTACCCTTGTCTAGGTATCAGGTTACACAGGGTAGAGGGACAGCGACGAGGCCGATAATTGACCAAATTAAGTTTGATGAAGACACTGTTTGGCCCTGAACCCTTTTGCGGCAAGCCAAAACAATAAAAAAAATAGATCCATCAGGCAATATCAGGCATAAGTCCTCGATTGATTCAACTGTTTTACAGTCGTGGACAGAGGCGCGCGAAAAAATCCATCAAAGCAACTTCGCAGAAAGCAGAATGATTAAATCAAAGACGTGCTAGGACTAGAATAATGGCTGGATTGCTGGCTGAACACTACAGATTCCGGAAGCGTATCTAAAGAATCGGAGCAGCAGAAGCCTGTGCAGATATTGTCGGGATAAAGAGGAAGCAGCTGAACATGTCCTTTGTTGGTGCGAGAAGGCTTATGCAGGCAGACTCCTATGCTGAAAGAGGGAAAGCACGGGCCTGAGCAATGGGAGTCCTTAACCAAATTTTCGGGTTTGGTAAAAAGCTTTAAGTTTAATGGAGAGCTCTAGATAATAATGGATATGCACTATAGACCAATACCGGTCGCGGTGCGTGGATCGTAAATAGCTGACCTTTTTAACCTTTAACCATGGTTACCTGTTCCTGAAAAGTCCTGGAAATTCCGGACTGGATCAAATGCGACACTTTTCATTACGCCCTTATTTCTTTGACAAATAGAAATTAATTAACCAAGGCCTATTTCGAATAGAGTTTCAGTAGCAGCATTCTGTAGAAACTGTAAAACGTATCAATAAGTCCCATGCATAAAATTTGTTCCTGATTAGATCTGGCCAAATTTGCCTGTTTTGATTACATAAATTATTTCTTTTAGACAGAGATTTCTATCGGAACAGAGTCATAAAAAGCTAAGTTTGAAAAAAATTATACTTGATTTTTCGGTCAAATGTGGTGAGTACCACCCACCACGATCTCAATATTCCGCTTAATGGTTGATCAATATTTTAAAAATGCTTACATGTATCACTAGGAAGTTGTATTTGATCTAACTGGTTGTTTCCTTCTTGGCATAAACTACATAGCAAAAGGTTTTCGATCCCACCATGATCTTTAGGTGAAGTGCGCTCCTAGGCGTGATTAATGGAGGTGCGTTTGGCTTTCCCCATGATCGATGCCGAGCTTTATTGTTATACAAAATCCACTTTTCATCCCCCGTCACTTATCTTCCAAGAATTGAACCGCTATATTGGCACGTCGAAAACAAATCAAAAAGATGGGAGACTATTTTTATCAGGCTTTTCAATCAACCAATACAAATATTTGAAAATTTGTATTTGATTATTCACTAATCTAATTAAAACCATTTAAGAAGGATTTTTTTAAAGCTTGTAAATGTTATTTTCAACAAGTATTTTAACTCAAAAAACTTCAATACATACTGAACGTCCTATTATCACTTCTGGAAAGGTTGTCCAGTGATAATACTCCTTCACACTGTCCCTTTCACTTACTTTCCTAGAAAAATCGTCGAAGATTTTCATGTTTGTAGTAGGATAACTGGACTAAAAGGATTAGAACTGCGGTTGAGTATTTTTTTTCCTTTTGATTTTCCTAATCATCTCAGGACCGGAGTCGACATTAAGAGTACCAGGAAATATCTTAAAACTTTGTCATGTCAGCTTCTTTTTAGATTTCCCCTTAGGGTCTGCGCCGCGATGAACCTTTAGTCTGGTTATTCCGATCGTTGTGTTCTGCGTATCCTAGCTGTTCGGTCTGTCGAACCAAACTGAACGGAAATGACCGACCTACAAATAATAAAGGATTTCTAACGGTAAAATAAAACTGTTCATAACTTTTACTTATGTCAACTCCCATCAGAAAACATGATCATTGGATTATGGAGATATGGTACATGTTTTAATATCAGTAGCTTTGTCTTTCCCAGTCATTTTGGTCAGCTTACCCTGGGCTGTTTTGGTCCATCAGACCAATCTGCAGATTCTGTTTTAATATTTGTTTACCCGAATATTGTCGGAACTTGCAGACTGACTTTTGCAAAATCTACGTGAGAAAAAGTAAAACACAGTTTGCAGCAATGCACGAGACCTATTTGAACTCCTTTCACACAAGTGAACAATCAACATTGTAATCTATTGTTCGTAATCTGATCTGTTGAAGGCCAAAATTTAAGAGAAACGTCCGATATAGTCAAATAGAAAAGATCTCATGTTTCATAACGACAATACGATCAAACATATTAATCAACAGTCAATGATGAATGTTCATATAAATATCTGGGGGCGTCGGTGGCCGCAGGGTTAAGGTTGACACGGCTCTAATCACCGTGTGGTTGAGAGTTAAAGGTCCATTCCCTGTTTCGAATCCAGCGGCCCTGAGTTCGAACACGATATACTTAAAAATAGTTTTTTTTGCAAAAACACCGGCACCTCGAGAGTTCATACACCCTCGTAGTTGAACTACCGTCGTAAAAAAATATCTACATATATACTTTAAAGACGAAAGGCAACAAGGCGGACAAAACCAGCGAGAATAGGCGGACCATGACGAGTGAATCAAGCAACAGGTTAATCAACTCAGCACAATATTTCACAAAAAACATACCGTTCTAACATTCCTGATCATCTGAGCTCAATCAACTTAAATTAACTTTGCAAAATTACGCTACTAGTTGTACGAATTGAACAACAGTCGGCGTGTTATTACAAAGTTCTAATTTCGTCGTTGGTATACTGTCAGAGGTATTTTTCAGCGGATGACTTTTCAGCCGGTCTGGAATGGTAATTGCACATCCTCGAAATGTAAGAAATAGATGAGAGAAAAGCAAACAAAGCCGCCAAATCATACCGTTACACAATTAAACCGAGTAGACTACTTTAATAACAAAATTTACTAAAAGCGTGAATCGATAAACAACGAGAACGAAAACTGCTTAACACGTTGCTGTCATTGTTTTCGTTCATAATTAAAAATACACATCCTTTGAATGGTTGTTTTAAATGGACCATGAATATTAACAGCGTTTGGACCAAAGAGAAGGAATTCATCTGAACACTATCATGTGTTTAAAAATGGGCCAATTGTATAACTGTAGTTACATCTTGCGTTCAGCCGAACCTGCCATCTTTTCCTAGATTAAATGCTGAAGTCAT